ATGCCCAGCTAATTTTTGTATTTTTAGTAGAGACAGGGTTTCACCAAGTTGGCCAGGATGGTCTCGATCTCTTGACCTCATGATCCGCCCACCTCCGCCTCCCAAAGTGCTGGGACTACAGGCGTTGAGTCACCGTGCCAGCCAGAAGCTCTTCTGATCTAGGATCAGAACTGGTAGGCTAGGATCACCAACTGGTAGTTTACAAACGTATTCTGCTTCCTTGTGGGAATTATAAATACTAATCTAAATACTCAAGATGAGAACTGTGCTCTGTGGTCTCCCATGGTTCCCATTTCCCACACTGATCTATCCTACTGTCTACTTTAAACACTGACACCCCTGCTCTAGACTCAAAAAGGCAACCTCTTAATATGGATGCCTACAAATACGCACCAGTCCTTCACGTGCTGCACTGCTGCTTGAACTTAGTTTTGTTCTTGTTTGTGGGGTTTCCCTCCTGGACAGTGAGTTAATTGAGAGTAGGGACTGGACCTGTTTCTGCTCCTCATCATATCACTGGCAACTAGAATACTACCTGACACATATTAGATGCTTGCTACGTATTTATTAAACAAAAGAAGTAAGAGATGTGATGATGAATGAACGGATGGGTAGATTAGGAGGTGAGGCAAATCTTACTTCATTTCCAATCGATGATCATACAGGGAGTCAGATGAACTTGGTAAAACATTTCTCACCTCTTAAACATTAAAAGCCCATTTTTTACTTCATGACTCAAAAGGTCTGAAAGGTCTGACCTTAGGTCTGTCTTCTTCCCTGCTGATACACCAGTCTCAACAAAATACTCACGTTGAATTCCTCCCTGAAGAGCTTATTGTCGTCTGCCATTCTCCGGTTAATTTCCTCTTCCAGCTTGTCCACGGGCAGGGGTGGGTACTTCCTGTTGGTGCTTGGGGATCTGGCCAGAAGTGGCACACTCTGGGGCTCTGCAGTACACAAGGGAGAAGGTCAGTCAGGTGCCCTGAGGACCTAGCCCCTTTTCTGGAGGCTAAACTGGGGGTTCTACCTCATGGACCAGGCCTGTAAAAAGTAGGACTGTTCTCTTCAAAAATCTTCTTTTTTCCTCTTTTTATCGTCTTATTCTTTTAAAAGGATGGAGAAACTCCTAATTTCTTGATTTCCTTCCTTGTGAAGGTTCCCCAGGACATTAAGGAATGCCTTACCCACATCCTCAGTGCGGCCATTGGATAAGCGGAAAGAATTGGAATGGCTCCCAGCTTGCTTGTATTTCTTAAACCTAATGAGAAAATGATCACAGTGAAGAATGAAGCACAGAGGCAGGAGAGGCAAATCACAGCTCTGTATTCCTGCTCATCAATTCAGCCTTTCTAAATCTCCTTTAAAAATAATTGGGCTTTTTAAGAGACAGGTCATGCACACTCTGAGCAGCAGCATGCTGGGGCAACCAAGTACCTCGGGATACTCCTGTTTACCCTCGGCACACTGGGACCCAACCAGGGAACCCCAACAGTATATTCAGGCTCATGTGGCTCACTGGAGAGCACAGCCACACCAGGTGGAGAGAGAGTGAGTGGATAGAATACAGTTGGGGGAGACAGACAATATATATCAAACAAAAATATTGGTATTTCCTCAGTGTAGCCTGGGAGACCCAGGGAGAAGCCCAAAGCTTTGGACTGGGTGGACACAGTTTTGGCCACAAGTCTCCTGCAGAATGATGGAGACATATGACAAATTATAGGGGGCACACGATTCCCCTCTCTTTATCCCTGCAGAAGAACAGAGGGAGCACAGAATAGGTTAGGCCAAAGATAAGGCAGGGCTAAACCCAATTAGTCTGGGCAGTAGCTTTAGCAGGAAGAGAATAAATGCACCACCCTCTTCTCTCCCTTGGATTCCCCTTCCTTGCTTCTGCTTGAGTGGTAATGTCTAGAGGATCCTGAAAGAAGGTTAGAAAGAGGGATCCTGTAACTCACAACTCACATGGCTCAGCTCAGCATGCCAAGGCCAGGGGTCCCAGAAGGGTTTGGGGACAAAACCCCAACTAGAAATAAAGTAGGCTTTTGTTGAGCATGTAATCTTACTGGGGCCCTTTTAGGGGTTCCTTCAACAGGGCTAGACCTAAAGATCCTGTAACACCTGTCCCTAATAACAAACTGTGGTTTCTTACTTCAACCTCCAAACTACCATTCTGGGTTTTAGCTTGCACTGGAGTTGGGGGACTGGGCTTGGACAGATGGAAGAAAGAGGGAGGGTTTAGGACTTAAGGAAGACTATATAGAGCTTTTAAATCATTTCTAAGTAGAACTTCAATTTTAGCACCATCATGTGCCATTCCCCCTCTATCCTATTCATTGTGTATATCCTACTGTCTACTGGACTGTGTGGGTTCATTGGGACACTGGGGTATTGAAACAGAATCTAAGAGAACGTGAAGTGTTAGTAGGCTCACCTTAACATGTACAAAACTATGATAATAAACACGATCACTAGCAGAGAGGACAGGGCCACCATCACCGCAATAATTGGTGTCTCATCTGAAATCAAGAGAACAGAACAAGTCATTACTGTGTTGTGCAATGGAGGGTTTAAGTCAGCCATTCAAGGGAACACCCTGAAGAGGAAGAGCTCATTCAGTCCTGCAGATGCCAGGAAATGGAAACAGAGAAGAGTGTGTGTGTGCACCTCCCACTGCCATGCCAGGGCTATTGAGGTGAGGTGGGGAGAGAGCATGGGGCCCAGGATGACATGCTCACCCCATCTCTGACTATCATACATTTATTTACTCTGTCTCCCTGCACTAGAATAAAAGCTCTTTAAAGGCAGACAGTTTGTTTTACTCACTGCTATATCCTTTGAGCCTAAAACAGTACTTAGCACGTAAAAAGTATTGGACTATCTGGAGGCATGAACACATCCAATTCTGATGGCAAGCTAGGTATGCAGGGCCAACACTGTACACTCTCTCAGCCTCAATGGGCTCCATCTAGAGGAAGATGGGAGAGGAAGGCAAAAAGATGGTTTTCCTATCATAAACCCAAATGGTTTCCTGGCGCAGAGAATATTGTTCCTAATTAAAACAAGGAGACAGGTAGGGTACAATGGCTCACGCCTGTAATCCTAGCATTTTAGGAGGACAAAGCAGGTGGATTGCTTGAGCCAAGGTATTCGAGACCAGCCTGGACAACAGGGTAAAACTCCATCTCTACTAAAAATTAAAAAAAGATAGCCGGTGTGGTGATGTGTGCCTATAGTCCCAGCTACTTAGGAGGCTGAGGTAGGAGGATCACTTGAGCCCAGGAGATGGAGGTTACAGTGAACTGGGACTGTGACACTGCACTCCAGCCTGGGCAACAGAGCAAGACCGTGTCTCAAAACAAACAAACAAACAAGGACAGCTGGGTGTGGCAGCCCATGCCTATCCCAGACTTTGGGAGGCTGAGGTGGAAGGATTGCTTGAGGCCAGGAATTCAAGACCAGCCAAATAAAAATAAAACAAAACAAGGAGACATTATTAGATCCTCAGCCACCATGTAACAAAACTGCTGGGTGCTTTTTTTTTTTCCTCTTTCCACACGCTGCTCCCTCAGTCACCTTTTGCCAGGACCCCAACCATGGCAACATCTGGCTTGAAGACATGGCAATCCCACCTCATTTCACAGGGCCTGGCTCCCTTTCACCCAATACCTAGCCTTGTTTCTCATGCAGCTGGCCAGGCACTGACTCATCCGCCTCCACTCTCACCCCCCACCTCACTCCATGAACTACACCATCAGAGTGGCTTGGTAACTATCTTCACCATTTTCCTACCTGTTAAAAGGGAAGACAAGTCCCTCCCATCCTGTCATGTGTGCTCTGGATTACATCTACTGCTGTCACCTCAAAGACTTGTCTTCTTGACCTCATTTACCCTCCTCCAGCCACCACCAGCCTTGCGTCTCTCTTCTCAGCTGACTTTCCACATAGCTGTCTAATTCGTCTTGTCTAACTCCTTACCTCCAGGTTCTCCTTAATCTATTTGCTCTGACTCCCACCCTCAGTGCTCTGTTTAAACTGCTCAGCCAGAATACCAACAAATGTCATATTGCCAAATCCAACAGGAACATTCCCATCCTCATCTGATTCAACCTTTTAGCAGCATTCATTCAAATATTTGTGGACCAGCAATTTCAAGCCATTGTTTGAGACACTAGGAGCAGAGAAGTGTTCAAGCAGACAAGTGATAGAAAGCTTACATTCTGTGGGGAGGAAGGAGGACACTGTTTATAAACAAGTCAATACTTAATTTTAGACAGAGACAAGTGCTATGAGGAATAAAAAGCAGGGTGGGGAGAGAGAAAGTGACAGGTTGGGGAGCAGTGATGAGTGGTCTGGGAAGGCCTCTCTGAGGAAGTAATATATGAGCAGAGCTCTAAATAACGTGAAGAGAACCATGCAAAGATCTGGATGAAGAGCTTTCTAGACATAGGGAACAGCAAGCATAGTAGCTCTTAGGAGTTTGGCAGGTTCAAGAAATAGCACAAAGGCCAGTTCAATATAAGATGCCAGAGAGGTGGGCAAAAGCCAGCAGACTTAGGACTTGGGAGTCCATTGCAATGATTGTGGATTTAATTCTGAGTGTGATGAGAAACACTATGCCATTGGAGGGCTTTGAACAGAGGAGATATATAACTGGATTCACATTCTCTTAAAAGCTAAACTGACCCATAAGCAACAGCCATGAGGTGAGAGGTTAATCTAAGAATGCAGTGTCATAGAAGCCAAGAGCAGAGATTTTCAAGGAGGGAGCAATCAATTCAATCAAATATTGCCTACAGACTTAAGAAGAATGAGACAGAGAAGTGAAACCAGATTTGACAAGACGGTGGCTACTGGTGACCTTTCCAAGAGTGTCTTCAGTTGAATATGGGTGAGAAAGCCTAAATGAAGTGAAATAAAGATAGAAAAAGGACAAAGTGAGACACCGGGTCCTTTCGGGAGGACTTTTAACACTAAGGGATACACTGGAAGGGAGATATGAGGTGGACAGATGGGTTTTTTTTTGTTTGTTTTTAGAGAGACGGAAGATATTACACAATGCTTCTTTGTTAATGGTAAGTTTCAAACATACTGTGGTATGTGGCTCTCATCTTAAAATGAGCATTTGGACTGGCTGATCACTCCTTCCTCTCTGAAGCACTTTCCTCTCTTAGCTTTCCACAATGAAGCACTCCTCTGATTTTCCTTCTATCTCTTGTCTGCTCCATCTCAGTTTCCCTCACTATCTGTTCCTCTTCCAACACCAGATCTCTAAATGTGGGAACTCCTCAGGGCTCTGTCCTTGGCACTTTTCTCTCTATCTAGTTAATCTGATCAGAGAGATGACTGTAAATACAAATGCCATGCTAGCAATTCCCACAGTTGCTTTGTTTGGTCAGACCTCTTTTCTGAGTTCCAGATTCTCAACTGCCTATTTTCCACCTCCACTTCAAATTTCATAGGCAACACAAGCTTTCTGTGTTTAAAACCTTTCCCTCACCATTCAGTAGCTAGTACTCTAATCCACTCTGTTGCTCAAGAAAGAAATGTGGAAACCCCCTTGATTTCTTCCTCACACTTATCTTCTATATCTAGCACAGCTGCAAGTAATATATTTTAGAGTTATATCTAAAACTTCAAATCTGCCTCTCTTTTTTTTGCTTTTTTCTTTTTTTATTGCCACCAGTGTAGTCCCAACCTCCATCCTCTCTCACCTGGATCACAGTAAGCCTCTGCCCCTGCCAATCTATTCTCCACAAAGCAGAGGGATCTCTAGGAAAGCAACTTAGGGTGTATACCAATCTTAGGTAAAACCCTCTAACAGTTTCTCATGCCTTAGAACGAAATCTAGTCTCTTTATCCTGGACTCTAACAACCCCCTTGATCTAGCCCCTCCTTGCCCTACCTCTTGCACTCTTTCCTTGCTCACTCAATTTCAGCCACTGGTTGTCCTTCCACGCTTTCTTTCATTCATCCATCCTCAGGCCTTTGAACATGTTATTCCTTCTGCTTTACACAGCCTCCCTCTGTTCTTTGCCTGGCTATCTCCTACTTGTCTGGTTCTCTGTGTGTCACTTTTCCCACACAGGTCTTCTCTGACTTCCTAATACTAAATTAGGATCATAAGTTTCAGTTTCCTTATTTCTGAAATAAGTTATTCTGCATATTAAATTAGACCATTCACGTAAAGTTGTTGGCACAGTAACTAGCACACAGTATGTACTTAATTTTAGCTGTTATGGCCGGGCACGGTGGCTCATGCCTGCAATCCCAGCACTTTGGGAGGCTGAGGTGGGCAGATCATCAGGTCAAGAGTTCGAGACCAGCTTGGCCAACATGGTGAAACTCCATCTCTATTAAAAATACAAAAAAAAGCCGGGCGCGGTGGCTCAAGCCTGTAATTCCAGCACTTTGGGAGGCCGAGACGGGCGGATCACGAGGTCAGGAGATCGAGACCATCCTGGCTAACACGGTGAAACCCCGTCTCTACTAAAAAATACAAAAAACTAGCCGGGCGAGGCGGCGGGTGCCTGTAGTCCCAGCTACTCGGGAGGCTGAGGCAGGAGAACGGTGTAAACCCAGGAGGCGGAGCTTGCAGTGAGCTGAGATCCGGCCACTGCACTCCAGCCTGGATGACAGAGCAAGACTCCGTCTCAAAAAAAAAAATTACAAAAAAAATTAGCCAGGCGTGGTGGCACATGCCTGTAATCTCAGCTACTTAGGAGGCTGAGGCAGGAGAACTGCTTGAACCTGGGGGGCGGAGGTTGTAGTAAGTTGAGATTGCAGCACTGTGCTCCATCCTGGGCGACAGAGCAAGACTCAGTCTCAAAAAAAAAAAAAAAAAAAAAAAAAAAAAAAAAAAGCTTTTATTTCTTATATTATTTTTGTAAGGCAAGGACCTTATTATTTTCCTTGATAATACCTCTCACACTTTGTAATTATATATTTGACTGTTGTTGATTAATCAATATCCCTCCTTTATAGCATAAATTCCACAAGAGCAAGAATTACGTCTGCTTCATTCTCACTGTACACCTAAAGCCTAGCATAGGGTCTCACACATAACAGGCACAAAACAAACAATGTATTACATTGAGCCAAAGAACAAAAAAAAAAAATAGTAATTTATCACTAAATACGTCTTTGTTAAATTCTAACTACAGGGGGCAGTATATCAGGTATTATAATAAAGTAATTAGGCACATTCCAGCACTTTGGGAAGCCGAGGCAGGTGGATCACAAGGTCGGGAGTTCAAGACCAGCCTAGCCAATATGGCGAAACCCCATCTCTACTGAAAATACAAAATTAGCCGGGTGCAGTGGCACACACCTGTAGTCCCAGCTACTCAGAAGGCTGAGGCAGGAGAATCGCTTGTACCTGGGAGGCGGAGCTTGCAGTGAGCTGAGATCGTGCCACTGCACTCCAGCCTGGGTGAAGGAGCGAGACTCCGTCTCAAAATAAATAAATAAATAAATAAATAAACTAGGCACATTTGGCTTAAGACACTGGACTAAATCT